GAGAGAGGAGAGAGAGAGAGAGAGAGGAGAAGGAGAGAGAAGAGAGATGAGAGAGAGAGAGAGAGAGAGGAGAGAGAGAGAGAGAGAGAGAGAGAGAGAGAGAGAGAGAGAGAGAGAGAAGAGAGAGAGAGAGAGAGAGAGAGAGAGAGAGAGAGAGAGAGAGAGAGACCTGTGAGAATTTGTCCATCTGCTAATCATTCTTGTTGCCGTCAGGGTATGCTGAAGAAGACAAAAGTAACACGGGAATCTTTGAAACGTGCGCAAAATGCCCACCTGCGACCAGGCGCCTCCCACGCTGCCGCCTAACGTCGTCATCTCGTCCTACAGAAAACCGTACGAACTGAACGGACCAACTGATCTCAACAAATATCGCCAATGCTGTCCCTTGCTGTTTGTCAGATTATGATTTCGATGCACTATATCGATCACCCAAGTCTTAGAAAAGGAGGTTGTAACAAATGGTCGATGTTAGATGGCTCGCTCGCATCATTGCATCGCATCGGAACATTTAAACAGATAGTATTTTAGCCTTTTTCGCACACTTACCTGGTAACCGGTTTTTTACTTTAACGAAGTTTTTACCGGCCGGTTTTCCACCGCCACGACTCAGTCACATGTTGCCATCGGCAGAATCGGCTACAACGCCAAGAAGTCGCGGAGCAAGAGTAATGACGAGGACGCTCACAGCCGGCCGGATGACTCTGAAGACGGTACAGAAACAACAGAGCATGACGGAGAGCCGGGGGAAAATGACAACGACGGAGTCGCCTACATCCAGCAAGAGGAGCCGAAAGTCGGCGCAGATGCATCAGAACAAGAGGAAGAGCCACCGGCAGAGAAGGAGCCGGAGACGCAGGGCAAGCTCGCGCCTGCTCCATTTGAGAACGGAGAACACCAGCGCGAGCTGGAGGGCAGAGCGTCACCTCAGGTCGTCTTCGAGGGGGTGGAGGTGGACCTGTGAGGAAGTAAGGACAAGAGTTGCTGTCCAGGCGTCCAAGAAGTGACTCTTTACGATCGGATCACGGCGGATGCCAAAACCGCTGATAACCGCCATAGGGGATGCAAGTTGGTATGGTAATTAGACCAATCTGTAAAACAGCGGGGCGTATCTGGGAAGACAGTGATAGGCTTGCCTTCAAGATATTGCGTGTCTCAAGGCTGCGAAGTAGTTGCAGTGGCTGTAAGCTCTTGTCTGACAGCAAAGCTTGTACCCGGGCAGCCTGTCGTTATCACCTTAAATCCACTCCCGGGCATCCGGAATAACATAGCCACAATGTTTAATCCCGTGTATCATTCTTTACGCAGCCAAAGCATGCTATATCATAAATACGTCGCGCGATTATCTGTTATGATAACCCTCATGTATCATAGCTTGAGCGGCCTTCCATAAGACTTGTGCCTGACTTCGTTGCTGTGGATTAGATGGCCACTGTGACGAATACCTTGATGGATTGCTTCTCACTAGTCCCTTTCACGCAAACACTGTTAGACAGGGCCTTCAAATGCTCGAAAAGTTGGATAAGTAGGAAAGAAATCCATGGTTTGTTATAAGAGCTGTAAGAATTGCCGTAACTTTACCCCTTGGTGGCGGCGTTTTTATTTCACCATGGTATAGGTTGAAGTGGGGCAATTTGAGCACATTGGTAAGTTGATCCCATCCATATCTCTATCCCAAGATTCCACTGTTTCCGAGCGGCTGCCTGGCGGTACGTTTGAGAAGCTCGGCCTAGCTGTTTTGATGCGAACGACGGCGGGCGGGCGATGGGTGCACTCTGAACATTAACATGATTCTGACCCGTTGATGTGAACATTTTCGAGGATGTACAACGTGTTCTGTCGTCTTTGGTTTCAGAAGGTATCATTGATTTACTGACTCACATGTATTTGGCCGTGCCTGCTCCTGAAATCGCCATATATTTCGCGCGGATGAGCTTGAAAGCAACTCTTCAGCCACGCTGTTTCATTTGTCATATCGTAGTGTGGCAGTTTGTTCCAACACGGAGGTGGGTAAGGTGATTACGGCTCAACTCCACTCAATACATGGACAGCACACCAGAGATTACGTGTCTAGCTCGTGCCAACGATTCCAATAAACACATGGAAGGAACATCTAAAAATAGAGGAGGGTTTAGAAAAGCACCCATCCTCGCCTGAGGACGCCTACAACGCTGATGGGACGGGCGTAATCACGGAGCAGACGCCGAAAAGGTGGCGAAATAGGGATCGAGGCAGGTGGGCCCATCGCTTCCACAGAAGGGGGGGGGGGAGTTGTGTACGCTGCCTTGTTCAGGAAGCGTCGTCGGGAGTTCTGTGCCACGACTCATCATCCTTCCTTGAGTGAGCTACCCGAATCACTTCCTTCGAGGCGCCCCCACAGGCACTGCAGGATGTGCAACGATGAGGATGGGAGGATAAATGGATGGGAGGGTAAACGAGGATATATTCCTCGGGTACCTCATCCACTTTCAAAGACTCATTCGATGTTCGGCAGGCAGGTCCTCATCATCCCGGACAACCACAATTCTCATATCTCGCTTCGGACAAGTGAGTTTGCTCGCGCCGACGGGGTCACAATTCTTGCGCTTCCGCCGCATACTTCTCATTGCCTTCAGTCTGTAGACATATCGGTTTGCGGTCCGCTGAAGACCTACTGCAGCAGGGCTATGAAGGACTGGATGCGGGAAAATCCAGGTCACACGGTGACAATCTACGGCGTCTAACAAATCGTGGATATCACGTACACCAGGGCCTTCGCCGGGTCCAGCTTTCAGCCTGCGTTCAGAGCAACTGGGATGTTCCCCTTCAACAGAGGTGTTCTCCCAGAGCACGCATTCTCGCCGGCAGATGTGACCGACAGGCTGCTACAGAATGTCTCTGGCGCCGGACCAGGTGGCGTACTGCAGGGCGCGGGCGCCACAGCCGCAAGACCAAGTACCGCCTCGCAAGGAGTGGCATCATCCGATGTGGGACCATGTGGCACCCTGCCGTGGAACCAGGTAGCACCCTTTCACGGACTGACCTGGGGTCCGATGGAACCGTGCTGGACGCATCAGCCACCTGCGCTGCAGCGGAAGCCATAATACCCATATGAAGAGTTCCACCACGAAAGAGTGAAACAGCCAATCGTAATCAAAGACGATCGATGGTCCTGACATCGATCCCCGAAAAGAACCGACTCCAGCAAGAACAACAGCAAATGGGAGCAAGCCGCTACGCGGGAAAGTAAAACCACAAGGCGGAAAAGCCAAGCGGAGTCGATGAAGAAGAGAATGCCGTCTTGCGACGATGATAGTGATGAAGATCAAGAAATCAAGAAATATATATATATATATATATATATATATATATTATTTCTGATTTCTTTATCTTCATCACTATCATCGTCGCAAGACGGCATTCTCTTCTTCATCGACTCCGATATATATATATATATATATATATATATATATATACATATATATATATATATATATATATATATATATATATCACGCCGATATGTGCACAAAAGATCAACATTTCACCGTGTTAAGTCAAAAGCTCAAAATTTCCCTTCCTACTAGTACAGGTTACCAAAATGTAAAAAATGGCTCACCTTAGACTACTTTACCCAACCTAATCGTTATTTCATATTTGCGGCACATTCTGATTCGGCCTCATGAGATCAAACGCACAGAAGAGTTAGTGCATGGTGACGAACCGTAAACACTTCCAGAGTAAAGGATAACGGCTATCTTGATAGCCTATAGAAAAAGACTGCGGGCTTCGCCCTCTGTACATCAAATTTTTCGTACATTTTAGAACTATGCGCCTGTAGAATGCGACGTGACCAAATCAGGTACGAGTCAAAGAAACGCTGGCGCGAAAAGGGCTGTCATGACTAAGCACTGTACGATTTGGAATATGTCCAGATTCGACTGAAGGTATGATGCAACTCTGGGGTCGGTTCAGCTAAAACCCATTCCGATCGCAACACCTTAAAAAGATGAGTTTCTTAGTCACCTAGCCCACTTACACATCTGTGCAAGCCATCTGCTTTGTTTATTACGCAGTTATGTGAAGCAGGACGACTCCCCGCACGTTTCTCACATGTTTTGCTGCAACTCGATGGTCCGACGCTTTGACGAACTTGGTCATGAGACCCACATGTCAATAAGTCGCATCTTTTCTCCGGGAAACTACTTCCCGCAGCGATGCGAGACCGTTTCTGCCATTCTTGTGCGGTGTGGTCAGTCGGAGCTTATATCGGACCTTGGTCTGGCTTGCAGGAGATTTAAAGCGGTTGTCTACTTATCTTTCCGCTATAGGCTGTGAATATAGTAAGATTTCATAGGAGTATTGTATTTACGCTGTCAAAAAGTGAATGCAGCCAATGTAAGACGGGCAATACTCAATTTATCGCAAATTAGGTTATAATAATTCGACCGCGTTCTTCTCATGTCTGTCTAAAAAAATGAGAAGTTTACGTTTAATAAGATGTGATAATCCACCCACTGGTGTTTCTCAAAAGGTGTAAAAGCTTACCACGACAGCTGAGGACATGGCTCCAAACATAACTGTCTTAACTATTGCGTAGCAAAGCATATTTCGTACATCACTAAGCTCGCTCGGCCGTCACAAAGCCTCACAAAGCACATTTCGAGTTTCACTGAGTTTGTATCTCACAAAGCTTAATTTGTCACGCGATGGCAGAAAGATTCAAAAACGCTGGAACCATGTACTCAGCTGTCTGTGATAAAGTTTTCCCTGTTTTAATAAGGAAGTGGTCGAAACATAGTGTTCAGTGATAAATAACAAATATATTCATGTTCGGCACGACCACGAAGAGACTGCGGTGAAATGATCATAACAAAAGTCAAGTGTTTGTGAGCAATTTGATCATCATTTATAGTGGGGAGTACATACAGACGAGGTAACAAGAACTAGTACATAGCTTCTTACAGCACTTAACCATTATCGCCAGGCTCTGCCGGGCAGATATTGCCCGCGTGATAGCATCACTTGTCCGTACATATTTTGCCGTCTGAGCGCAACAGCTGCAATGGGAACAGGAACATATTGAGAAAAAAAAAACATTCGAAATCCCCGGCACGAGTCATCACTGCTGGTCTAGCGACATACGATTATGAGTCGCAAAGTAAAAATAATCTAGACTCACTACACATTGAAGAAATGGTAGAGAACTATGACAAGAGACAATAGTACTATCATTATGAATAAAACGACAAAGACCAAAATGTCCGATAGTTTAGTCGATCATTTCTCGAGGACTGTCAACATCTACATCAACTGATAAAACTAGGTAAAACGGTTAGATGCACTTGCCTCTTGTGGGGTCAGAAAGCGGTAAGGAACCAATTTCATTCCGGGGCTCGAAGGGGCGAAACACGCTCCCACAGAATGTGCAAAGATTCCTCGTCCATTTCGACGCCCAAGGCCAATGTGAAGAGATTGATCATTAATAAACGACACCCTTAAAACGAAATGCATGCGATTGAGATTCTGCTCTGTGTGGCCGTGAGATATTCATGTAACGTGAAATGCCCACGGGTTGTTCTGCTAATTCGCTGTAAAGCTATGATAAACTAGTGGAGGCGACGATAGCCACCCAGAGCGGAGCGTCTCGAGATGCCGTGAAATGCGATATGATGCTCCTTGTAGCAACACTAAAACAAGAAGAAACGTAGCGTCTAGAATGTAGTCATTTACCATGCGTACGTGCGGCTGGTCTAGCTCGAAGAATCAGAACCAAAACGGAACGTGAGATGCATCATACCAAGATAGGTCGTCGTGAGTTTACGGAACCGTTTTGTTCATGTCGCGTTTGCGCGAGGATTAGCATTGATACAATGTGCCATAAATTCCTTAGGAATATGGGCACTTGTAAAGGCAAGGAGCCCTATTTTTCCGTACATCCACCACCTTTGCAGTACCTGCGAGAGGACCGTCTATACAAGCGTGAAATATAGCCTCAAACTTTGACATGTCTGGAAGCCTGCTAAGACAGTCAACATTTTCTAGTGTCTGTGTTAGTTTTAGCTGAATAATAACACTGCTCTTTTTCATCAAAGTGACCATATAACGCCGCCATAACGCCGGAGACTGACGCTGGAGAATGCACGGGCCGCGCACCGTCGACATTTGGTGCTCATAGGCACAAGGATAAAAACGAACGCGTAGCGGAAAGTAATATGTTTGAGTGCTTCTTGTTCTTAATAAATACGTTTCGCAGGTAAATCCCTTCGCATACTTTCACCTGTAACATTTTCAGAGTTATACTCTAAACAAATTAACAGCGACGACACGACAAACATTTTACGCAATGTTTGGAGTATCTGCTGTTCGTGTTAGTGTAACTGCTAATCCGATCAAAGAAACAAGATGGAAACTGCGCGAGTGAAAAAACGGCCAATAATACCACTTTTTCGTAACAAGGAATATATAAAGCATCCGAAATTCCTACTTTTTGGTGCGCAGTGGTTTCCCCCGCCTGAGGCTGCTACCTAGTGCTAGCAGCAGCAGCCGACGCCGTCCAGCATATGGAAACTGCAATGCCGGGAGTTTGCATTCTTGCAATTCAAGAATGTGCACGCAGATTCGTATCACTTTTACCGTCCGATTCTGAAAAGGACACACATCCCGAGCGAACAGGGCTATGAACAGGCTATGTGGTTAACGCGTATCAGCTATCAGTTGCCCCTTTGTGTTGTATTATATCGACGATATGTGATGGCATGCTTAGATATGATGCCTGAAACTCCTATGATTGAACGAGCTCATTTTGCGCTGTGAATGCAATACAAAAGTTTGAATCTAATTGGGATTAGAACCAGAACCTGTAGATCACCGATGGCTTCGTCTTTTCTGAGGTGTCTAATTGCGAATCCCACGGTACCGTCTGAGCTTAAACGTCAGAAATACAAAAATGACGTAATCGAAAAACAATCAAAATGACCATGATTGAAAATTGATACCCGCGATACCAGTCTTGAAACACAAAGCGCACGAGCCACCAAAATTTTATGAGCACATCTTACATTGTTCCGTTACATGATAACGCTCCCGAACCTAGCGTCAATCTGCCTCTCGATACCGCCTGCATTTTATCGATTGATTCAATGATTATGCTGAACGTGAATGAGTTTGATTCGGAAAATCTTGATGCTCGCGGGTTGTACCAAAAACGTTTACGAAATATTGCATTTCACTAATATTTGCTTGCTTAGTCTATGACAACATGGTAGCGTGAAGCAAATCACAAGTAAATCGAATGAATCTCAGCTGAAGCAAATGCTCGCAAGTCTGCTTTGGCCACATTCTGAGCACTGCGACAGCAAAACGACCTAGGCTCAACTCACGCATACATAAAAGCGGAGGAAGCAGTGAGTGCATGTCCCGTGCTGTGGCAAACCACAACTCTGCTAGGCAAATTTGCCGCAAAAACAAATTAAGAGTCATGTGTCATGCCTATGTAGGTTTAGGTTTTAATGTTTAGTTTTAAGTAGTTTACATTATCATCCGGTCTCTCACCTTCGCGAGTGCGGCTGTTTCATAGCATCTTGGCAAAAAAATCAACAATACACTTTAGCATGTCATGAATGATCAACACTCGGCACTGCTACATGACGTCAGTGACGAACATCCAGCATCTGTTTCTATCGACTCCTTGGAGAAGACGAATGGAGTAAAAGGGCGATAATACAGCAGATAGCCTAAACCAGACGGATGAGAGCAAGGACCCGTCGCCGAGTTTCGTTCACGTTTTGTCCTCAAGTCTCGTGGATTCTGATGGCTCACCAAGTTCACATTCGATATTTCAAAATGGCGAGCATGTGAAGCTTGAAGCATCAACCTCAGCAACTGTATTCGTTTGTCCGAAAAATGATGTCCCATTGTGTCCTAAAAACAGCATTACAGATGGAAGAGTAGATGAAACAGCTGCGGACGGCCCATCGCTTTGCGAGAGAAGTGAGTGTTGCATTCCACGACCGAGAAGTAGTTCACACACGTCCAGAGGAATGCACCATCGCCTTACTACCATGTCCGACCATCACATCGGAAGCAAGGGCTGCAAGGAGCCGCACCAGGTGTAAGCAACATTCCAAAATCCCCATATCTGTTGCGGAGCACGTCGTCAACAAGGGCACCTAGCCCGCCAAACCGTCCCGGAGATGGACCCACGTGTCCTCCAGACCGTCCCGCGCCGGAGGCGGACCGGACCCGCCGCCGGACCGGCCGGACCGGGCGCCCCGGCGCTGTGCGCCTCGCGCCGCCACTCGCACCCACACCCTGGAGCGGCCGACGAAGGACTTCGTGCGGCTCAACAGGCGCGGCGAGTTCCGGCGCACAAGAACGTATCACTCGCTCCACCTGGAGCGACGCGCCGGCGGGGCTGGGCTCGGGACTGAGACGGGTGGCGCGGCGCCCCGGCTGACGGAGCCGGGGGGAGCCGAGCCGCCGGAGCCGTCGGAGCCGCCGGAGCAGCCGAAGCCACCGGCTCGGCCCCGCCGATCGATGAGGAGCCGAGCTCGCCGCGCAGCCCGCGCTCGTCGCCGGCCGCGGCCAGCTCGGGTGGCAGCCGGCGCTGGCCGTGGCCAGCCGTATCCCGGTGCGGACCGGGGGTGGCTCGACCGAAGCCCGGCCGGCGAGAGGAGTTTCATGAGTCGCGCCGCTGAGCTACGACAGCTCCGACTGTCAGCTGGACGTGCCCCGGCTGCCCGCTGCCGCTCTCGCAGCTATCGCTGATCGACCGTCAACGATAACCGGGCCCTGGTGAGAGCCTGAGAGCAGTGTGGGCTAGCACCCTTCGAACCCAAGACGACGTGAGCTTACACGAAGGTTCACCTATTTCGGTCCTTCTCACCCCACCGTCTATGTGTACCGTTGCAACTGTCTCAGAAAGATATCATATTAATGTGTTTGCAGCATGCTTAAAATGAAATTCCAAATACAGCCTCAGTAGATTGTGGCAACGCACAGCCTACTGGTGATAAGAATGAATGAGAAAATGTCGCAAACAGGTATTTTAAGAGATTCCGATACATTGATTTGATAGTACAGTAGTGTGCAAGCCTGACTACTCCGGCCACGACGATTGTTGGTGAAATGAGCCTTTTACGGCAGTTGTATAATTATGCTGTCACGAGACCGTCGCATTTCAGCTTTTGGACGCCAGTGCGCCCTCCCTGCTCGAGCACGAGTATCATGGCAGCACCGACCATCGAAACGACCTGATTGTTCTCGAGGATAACACATCATCTCTTTCCCTGCAGGTCAGAAAAATTCGCAATCTACGCGCGTAGAGACGGGTGTTTGCGAGGGAAACAGTAAAATGAATGGCTTGAATTGATAGCAAAATTAGGCGGAAACTTTAGAAAAACACTTGATACGTTTGAAATTGAATCACTCTGTTCACTAACAAAATACTTCCCGCTAGAAGATTGCCTAAGACAGCTGTAACTTGCAGAAAATGCCTGAAGGTTTGTTGCAACGAAAATTGTTAGTCAACACTCATTTGGCCGGCATGGAAGCAGCCGGCCCGCTGGGCTAACGCCTCGTTCGCGAACAGATGCCAAGGCCCGCGCGTGGCCAGAGCGCCGCCCGAGCGAGTACAGGTCCCGCCGCGTCACGTCGAGTACACGCCCAACCTGAAGCCCTACCCGCGCCACTACATCCGCCTCGGCCGGCTCGGACCCGACCCGCACACCGTCCGCCAGAGGGTGAGGCGCTGCAGGATAACGTGGCAGGGCCCTGTGTGAGGGCGAAGAGGAACTGAAGAACAGATGTTAACACGCGCCCGGGTGGTCGATTGAATACCCTTTGCTCCGGTGGGGCCAATTTGACCCTCCGAGAACTCCAAACTACGATAGTTAGAAACACCAAATTCGCAGGGTGGGTTGGCCTTTGCGTGAACTCGCATCAAAATTTCAGGTTCTTACGTCATAGCCTTGAGGTTGAATGAAGCCAAATAGGGTTAAACTCTAGATTGGTGCCTTAAGTGTCCATTACGTTCTCACGCAACCGCCGTGAAGCTAGACAACTGTTCCAAGCAAAATAGCAATGGTCTTCAGTGAAGGTCAGTGTCCTTTTGACCTTTACAACGTCAAGGCGACACAATACCTACGACCATTTTGTCATTCGAATAAGTACCAGAGATTACGATAGGCGGTGTGTTCCTGAAAAGAAATTGTTGACCCGAGCCAATTAGGTCACTGACCTATTCTGACATTTAAAAAGTCCATGGATTATGCCTGTTGCGGTCTCCACTATTAACCAATTCGAAATGAGCACCAGAACCTACCTCATACACCAAGTTCTCGCGTAAAAAAGCAGGAGTTTTGACCTCAGTCTGAACCTTTATCCC